AACTGCATAGACACCAGAGGGGCTGTGGATTGTCTCTGGCTGCAGCCAGGGCAGAGAGGGACAGATTTAAACAGGAAACTCTCACCCCTATTTGAATATCCCCCATTTATAGGAGACACAAACCCTTTTCCTGAATGCTTGGAGTTATTTGGCCAGTGGCTCTAAGGGAGGGAGTCGGACTGGTGCGAACTCTGTGTCTGGGCAGCGCCCAGCGAGTGCGGGGCCATCTGACCATACAGGTTCACCAAGAGCCCCCTTGAATCTCCTCCCATCCCTCCAGGTGTAAGGGCTGAGCTACCGTCTGGTGAAGGGAATGGAAAGACCCACCTCTGGCGTTAGCGGACTGTGGGTCCGGCCCTTAGAGAGAAGTGAAAAGGGAAGAATCGGGGGGAAAAATCTGTTTTTCTGTTGAGTCTAGAGGTGTTTGGAGCCTGATGTACCCTTTGAAGTGTGTGTTAGATCGACACTGGCATCTTATTGTTTTTCAGAGGGATTTGAGAGCAATTCTACCCATCCCCCAACAAACAACAAAAGCATTTGCACAGTCATCACTTTTAGGCAGCTTTGGAAGCCCAAGTTCTGATTCTCACACTGAACAATTGGTCCCCCAAATATTTCTCTTGTGCAGTCTGCAGTTTTACTTCAGTCTCTGATTAGCGTCAGTGTAAGCATGTGATAGTTAAGTTGTTGCAGTTTTTATGGACACGTGATCGTATATGAATACAGAGATCTCAAACCTGACGAGAGAGGTTTTTTCGCTCTGGTTCTAGATCCCGTTCCTGGGCCCAGGGCTGGATGGTTTGTGGAAGTGCTGCCCCCACGCGGCGTATGGCAGAAAGAAGATTCTGCAGCTTGAGTTTTTGTATAAGCAGTATCTGGATTCCCTGCACTGTGTCTCTCGCACAGTAATATCGGGCAGTGTCCTCGGGCTTCAGGCCGGTCATTTGCAGGTACAGCAGGCTGTTGGGGTCATCTCTGGAGATGGTGAATCGCCCTTTTATGGAGTCACTGTAGTATATGCTAGAGCCGTGAATCCAGGTGAGCCACTCCAGTCCCTTCCCGGGAGCCTGACGGACCCAGCCCATCCAGTAGCTGCTGAAGGTGAAGCCGGAGGCTTTGCAGGAGAGGCGGAGAGTCTCTCTGGGCTTTTTCACATCCCCTCCGGACTCCACCAGCTGCACCTGGGACCGGACACCTGGGGATAAAGATGAATTACAGGGAACATGAGTATGTAGGGAAACAGAATAACAATCCCCTGACTATCCAACACACGGGAAGGGAGAAAATACCTTCAAACGCTGCTGCAATGAGAACGAGATACAACCAAAGTCTCATTGTCCCTGTGTTTGGAGAGGAGAGTTTTCAGGGGGTTGTCTGGTGACTGCCCAGAGACAGAGGTTGCAGATTGTCTGTCCGGGTGCAGCCGTGGAAGTGAGAGAGACAGCTTTAAACAGGAAACTCTCACCGTTATTTGCATATCTCCCTTCTTATAAATCACTCCAACTATTTCCTGGAGTGAACTCAGTTTCTTTGAGTGTGGCTGAGAGAAGGGCCAGACTCCTGGGTACCCCCCCTCTCCCTGTCGGTGTATCTGTATCTGAAGAGATGGGGTTTTTGCCCACAAAAGCTTATGCCCCAATAAATCTGTTAGTC